TTGGGGCATTCGTATTTGAGAACCCTCTATAGATACTCACAGTATCCAAAACACTGATGGAAAGGAATTCACTCAGGAGATGCGATCTAATGGTCTCTTCAGGTTTGCATGGAGCGATGAGCAGAATTAATAGAAAAAACACATCCATAAGCACCCAGTGAAGATGATCCACCCAGAGGACTTACCTTTCTGGACAGCAGTTTGTCACAATAAATCAAAAGCCTTAGAAAGGTTTACATGAGACCACGCCACCTCTAAAAACTGTTGTGTAAGATGGATGGCCACTGCCCCCTTATTTAATAGAAAGGAAAGCTGCCAACAAGGCACACGGTCAAAAATAAACCTTCAGCTCAGGGGTGCTCAATGGTGGTACTCCTGGCATTCGGGAGGGGTGGCTTTTTCTTTGTGCAGAATCATCTGGTAATTTTCAGGATGTTAAGCATCTCAAGCCTCTACTCATTTTAATGCTAGTGGAGCTATTTTGACAATAACTACCCCCTTCTAAACATACATTTCCAAATGCTCCCTAGTGGTGGGTGGGACCACTGCAGGTAAGAAACTACCAATGAGGACCAGGCAATCATTCCAAAGGATAATCTGGATCTAAATACACGGATACCAAAAACTGTTCACAATACATAAAGTGAAACAAAAGTCAGGGTAAGTCTGCAGCATCATCACATTTTTGTCTAAAACAAAATGGAAAATTCTCCTATTACAAAGATACTTGCTACACGCATACAATAAAGGTTGCAAAACAATAGTCCTAGATTTGTGGAATTATGGGTGACCTACCCAGAACACGGCACTCGAACAAATGTCTGCTGATGTGAGTCAGCCTCTTATGTCTTGATTGAGCCAGAACTTTGCTGACAGATCCTTTAGGTTTTAACATCACTTTGATTCAGTGGTTCTCACCTGGGGTGCCCAACCCACCCCCCAGGTTCACAGCACACTGCCTGGAGACAGGTTTGGTCACCCCAAGGTCCAGGGGAGCGGGTGGTGTATGCTACTGGGATCTAGTGGTAGAAGCCAAGGAAACTCCTAATTATCCTACATTGCACAGGACAACACCAACAGCAAAGAATTATCCAGCTCAGAATTCCAATAGTGCTCAGGTACTCAAACCCTGCTCACCATTTGCCTTTCTTACGGCTTGTTAAGTATCCTCCAAATTCTTCCTGAAGTATCATCTACTGTAAATTGATCACTAGAACATCTCTAGAAGACAGGGCACATATTATTAACTGATTTGAAGGCAAATTGGCACTTGAAAGAAGACTACAGATGGTCAGTCAGGGCAGCTGAGGTACTGGAGGGCTCTCTGGATGACGTGACACACTTTGTTTGAGGTGAACAGAGGGGAAGGATTGGAGCAACCTCACTGATGACTTTTCAGTCCGGTCATTAAAAATCACGGCATAATATGATCCAGCAATTGCACTACTGGGTATTTACCCCAAAGATACAAAAGTAGGGACCCGAAGGGGTACGTGTACCCCGATGTTTATAGCAGCAATGTCCACAATAGCCAAACTGTGGAAAGAGCCAAGATGTCCATCGACAGATGAATGGATAAAGAAGATGTGGTATATATATACAATGGAATATTATGCAGCCATCAAAAGGAATGAGATCTTGCCATTTGCAACGACGTGGATGGAACTGGAGGGTATTATGTTGAGTGAAATAAGTCAAACAGAGAAAGACATGTATCATATGATCTCACTGATATGAGGAATTCTTAATTGTAGGAAACAAACTGAGGGTTGCTGGAGTGGGGGGTGGGGTGGGAGGGATGGGGTGACTGGGTGATAGACACTGGGGAGGTTATGTGCTCTGGTAAGCACTGTGAATTGTGCAAGACTGTTGAATCTCAGATCTGTACCTCTGAAACAAATAATGCAATATATGTTAAGAAAAAAAAAAAGAAGAAGAAGAAGAAGGTAGCGGGAGGGGAAGAATGAAGCGGGGGAAATCGGAGGGGTAGACGAACCATGAGAGACGATGGACTCTGAAAAACAAACTGAGGGTTCTAGAGGGGAGGGGGGTGAGAAGATGGGTTAGCCTGGTGGTGGGTATTGAGGAGGGCACATTCTGCATGGAGCACTGGGTGTTGTGCACAAACAATGAATCATGGAACACTTCATCTAAAACTAATGATGTAATGTATGGGGATTAACATAAGAATAAAAAATAAATAAAATAAAATAAAAAATCACGGCATAAATGCTCTTCCTTTCTGGCATCATCTATTATATTTATCACTTCTCGCTCTACTTTAAGAAAGTCGGGTTTTGTAGCTAGTAGGTTTTTATGAAATTAAATGACCCTATTCAGAAACACCTCCCTAAATGGGAGGTGAATTCCATGTGCATTATACTTAATTGAAGGCATTTCTCAGAAGAAATAGAATAATAAAGAGTATCACCTGAAGGTGTATTACCAACCCCATGATCAGGGAGTCAAATGAAAGGTTTTTAACAGAAATGAAAGCACATGACTCTCAACTCTGACCTTTCCTATTTCGCCTGTAGCACAAAGCATTTAACTTTCACTGTAATTTCTCTTGATAGAAAAATGAAGTTTCTTAAATCAGAGACAACTAGACATGATATTAAACGTCAGCATTTTTAGTGAAAAGCATTCAGGGTCTCAAATCTGTCTTATCTTAGAACATTCCACACAGCTTTTAAAAAAAAAATCTTTGAACATATAAATAGTTCCATAAGTAACAGATTTTAAAAGATCTTATAATTTTAAAATTTGAATTCCATTTCTTTCAGGCAACATGATCCCTTCAGACACCTTTAAATGCAGACTCCCATTTTATTAGGCAAATATACAGCCCTTCAAAAGGCTTGAAGAGAGAGTCTCTCTGGAGAACAACAGCCCTTCCTAACCCTCTGTGTCACATAAGTCTGAAGAAATTCAGGGAATAGAGAAAACCACCCAAGGAATAGCAGAATTATGAGAGATGGGAATATCCGTTCATTGGACATAATTCAAACCACTTGTTTAATAGCATTAATTGTTTTCTGTCAAAACAATCAAAGAAAATTGTTTTATATTTCCCAAAATATTCATTTTGGGTGAATCAAGTAGCCTTTAAAAATACTATCAGCACTCACTTTTGGAATTGGTGAATTGAACCAAGACCCCAACTTCTGCAACTGTCTGTTCTCTTGGGCCAACCAAAAATTTTCTCTGCGTCTGAAAATCATAGAATGATGTTTCATGGTCTTAGAGAAGAGTTTACCTAAGCAGGAACCCCAAATAGCTTAGCTTCAGAATTTCAGGGCCCAATTTAGCAGAAAGTGAGGTGAACAAAAGAAAGATGGGTCTCCTAGAAGCTGCTGCAGATGAGGTTAGCAAGAAAATGAAACAAGCTCACAGATGTATCTAGGTGTGAAAACTCCCCGCTCAAACACTGGCAGGAGAATGGTGATGTCAAACAAAGATATTCAATCACTCACCACCTCATTTGAGTGTTCAGACAAACTCAATCAAATGCTCTCATTCTTCTGAAGCTTACTCTTTAATAATACAATCTTCACCGAAACAGAAGGAAATAAAGATATAACCTTAACCTGCAAACCGAGAGAAAATGTTCTTATTTCTTCCTGCTGATATCTCAAATCCTCATAGAGATTATTTTCTGTGAATGTTTCTGTTCTAAAACATTTTCTTCCTCATAAGAATGAGAACAGAGATCACAAAAATGAAGTGCTTGCAGGGCTTAGGAAGGTCTTCTTCAAGACATAAATATGAACTTTTACATAAAAACTCCTAATATTTAAGGATTAGTAACTAATTCAAAATTTTAAATAATACTTTGCTGGCTAAACAAATCCTACCTGTGTGCCTGATTTCAGGTGCCAATTTGCGACCTCAAATATTGGAAAAAGAAAATGAGAAATGGCTAATCAAAGAGATGTTATGGGCGCCTGGGTGGCTCAGTCGTTAAGCGTCTGCCTTCGGCTCAGGTCATGATCCCGGGGTCCTGGGATCGAGTCCCACATTGGGCTCCCTGCTCGGCGGGAAGCCTGCTTCTCCCTCTCCCACTCCCCCTGCTTGTGTTCCTGCTCTCTCTGTCTCTCTCTCTGTCAAATAAATAAATAAAATCTTAAAAAAAAAAAAAAAAAGAGATGTTATTAGGGGTCCACTCTTGAGTTGTTTGCCAATTCTTGGGTCTTCCCTAATCATAAAGAACTTTTTCTAGCAGCATTATCACACCAAAAGTCCCTGACTTTAAAATTTCAGGGTATTTTAAGCTTCCAAACATTCTGTCAGACATAGGGAAGATCACTAGAGACAGCCATTTTCTGTGTCAGAGGGGCAAAACTCAAAGATGATGAGAGTGTCTAGCTTAAGGAAGGGGCTTCTAAACCAACATGAGGCTGGTGGAGGAGAAAACTCCAAGTACAGAAATGCAAAGCGGAGGCTATCACTGAGAAAAACGCAGTGAAACAGAAAGAAACCGAGCTCATCTGATCGAGCCAATAATATTTGCAGCCTGTAGGCAGTTCAAATATTTAAGGAAATGCCAATGTCTTTCTTTGTAAAGCAAGGCCAAACTTAGTATTTAAACACAGCATATATCACTGGGAGGAATAAGGCAAATCCTTATGTCCTCACTTTCCTTTAACAAAGAATCTTAAAGATTCATGGCCAATGTAGAACTCCCTTCCCCTCTTCAAAAATCAAATTTCCCTTTCTAATGTTTCAAAGCCAACGTCTCTGAGAAGTTTCTAGTCAATCTTCTGTTGACAGTTAATAATGACAATCCAGAATGAATTAGCAATGGCCCCCGTAGGACTCATTTTCATTTCTCTTCCTCAGCGCCCACTGGTGCCCCAGACATTGTCAACCCATGCAGCCCCAACCACTTCTCTGAATCAGCAAAGTGAACTCTTCCTTCTGAACTGGAATGAGGAAGGATGGGCAGGACAAAGATAAACAGCCCAAACCACAAGTGCCCTCCCCATCAAGAATGGTACCTGTTCAGGCTTCAGCCCCGGCGGGATCCAGGCGTACTCCTCCAAGGCACAGCCTGAGTCGTCGTCTGACGTGGAGTTCCTCTGGAAGTCAAACATGAGTTTGCTGACCGTCTTCTCCATCTCTAGGGGCATCACGGTCACCATGTGCTCCTCCTGAGGGCACTTGCAGTGCAGGCAGATCTTCCTGCAAGCAGCAAAGGTGGGAGGTGAGAAGGAAGGCAAAAGAAACCATTTTTCACCTGGCTGCCAGTCACCGGCCCTTGGATCCCAAGTCACAAATGCCTTCCTTGGTAACTGACCGTTGGCAAGAGCACCTAAAGTGGCGCCCCACAGCACGCCTGTCTTCTTGGAAGGCGTGGTGCGGGACACGTGGAAACATCACGAAAGGTCAGAGGCCACTAGGTAAGCCTCATGAGAATGTTCGAACATGGACTCCAACCTATTCTTCTAAATCAGTATCCCAAGAGCAATGTCAAAATATCTTTTACACTTAGTAGAGCACTGGATATGGACCGTGACTGCAATTTCCTTAACTATAATAGTAATTAAATAGACGTAATACATATGCTGACCAGAAATATTACCAGTGGATTTAACAAATACTGACAACATACCATTTTCATAAAAGCGTCCTAGAAGCTTGGGAAATGGTAGAAGTTTTAAAGAGAACCGCAGGTGAGATCTTCTTTAAGAAAAAGAGCAAGAATATGTTTTTCCCACCAAACAAATCTGGCCCCAAGATCTCATGGGAAAGACATTGTCACCTCTACTAAATATCCCCATAGGTTTGAAATTCTAATCAGAAACCCAAATCTTTCCTACATTGGTTGTGTGTTTTTTTTTTTTTTAAATATACAGTACAAGAGGATCATGCATGTGAATTATTTCAAAAGGTAGCAGCCAAAGATAAAATCTCTCCCCAAAGTTGAACATTTCTCTTTTAAGGTTACCATCTGTTCCCTCTTCCACGGCTACAAAAATGATGAAGCAGTAAAAAGGTTGATGTCAGGCAGCACAAAAGCATTTCTAGCTTCTACCAATAAAAAAGAGAAGAAAAAGAAATCACGGAGGAAAATTTTTAGAAAATGAGTTGTTGTACGTGGTACTCAGATCTTTATTAGTTTCAATAGCATCTTATCCAGGCCTTGAGAGGGCCCAGAATCCTAATCCCTACATGGGCCTAATTTTTTCAACAACAGCTTTGTTAAGATAGAAGTCCCGTATCACCAAGGTACCATTTTAAAGTGTACAAATCATTGGCTTTTAGTGTATTCACAGAGTTGTGAAAACATCATCACTATTTAATGTTGACTAATGTTTTAGTCAACCCAAAAGAAACCCAGGGCACCTTAGCAGTGACTTTCTACATCCCCCTTTCCCCCCAGGCCCTGACAACCACTAATCTATTTTCTGTCTCTGTGGCTTTGCCTGTTCTAAATTCCATATGTATGGCATCATGCAATACATAGTTTTTTCGAAACTGGCTTCTTTTACACAGTAGGATGTTTTCAAGATTAATCCATATTGTAGCATGTGACAATCCTTCCTTCCCTTTTATTGCATTATGATATTCCAGAGTATGGTTAAGCTACATTTTGTCCATCCATCCAATCAGGTGGCCTTTTGGATTGTGTCCACTATTTTTACTTTTGTGAATACTACCGCTCTAAATATTTCTATACAAGTATTTTTGTGTGAACACAGGTTTTCAGTTCTCTTGGCTATATACCCAGGAGTAGAGTTGCTAGGTCATATGGTAACTTTATGTTTAACATTTTGAGGAACTGTCAAACTGTTTTTCCGAAATAGCTGTACCATTTTACATTCCCACCATTAATGAATGAGTGTTTTATTTTCTCTACATCCTTGCCACACTTTTTAGTATCTTTCCGTTGTTTCCATCCTAGTGGGTATGGAGTGGCATCTTACTGTGATTTTGATTTGTACTTCCTTAATAGCTAATAATATTGAGCATCTTTCTATGTGCTTATTATATATCCTCGTTGGAGAAATGTCTGTTCAAACTCTTAGTCTGTTTTTAGACTGTTATTTATCTTTTTATTGTTGCATTATAAGTATTCTTTATATATATTTCTGAATACAAGTCCTTTATCAGAAATAGGATTTGTAAAAACATTCTGTGGGTGGTCTTTAGTTTTGTTTGTTTTTTTTAATTGTATGAACACTGTCAAGTCTGTTCTTTTTTTTAACATAGGCCTTTGGGATTTTCATTAATTAACTAATTATTTATTTATTTTTACTGGAGGGGGGCAGAGAGAGAGAGAGAGAGGAAGAGGGAGAATCTTAAGCAGGCTCCATGCCAACACAAAGCCTGATGCAGCGCTTGATCTCACAACCCTGGGACTGTGACCTGAGCCAAAATCAAGAGTTAGATGCTTAACTGACTGATCCACTCAGGTGTCCCTGGTTTTCACTTTCTTTTTTTTTTTTTTTTAAAGATTTTATTTATTTATTTGAGAGAGAGAATGAGAGAGAGAGAGCATGAGAGGGGGGAGGGTCAGAGGGCGAAGCAGACCCCCCTGCCGAGCAGGGAGCCCGATGCGGGACCCGATCCAGGGACTCCAGGATCAAGACCTGAGCCGAAGGCAGTCGCTTAACCAACTGAGCCACCCAGGCGCCCTGGTTTTCACTTTCTTGATGATGACTATTGAAGCACAGAAGTTTCTTATTTTGATAAAGTCCCACTTATTTTTCTGCTGCTATTGCTTGTGCTTTTGGTAGCCTATCTAAGAAACCACTGTCTAACTCGAAGTCATAAAGATTTATTCCTATGTTTTCATCTAAGATGTTTATGGCTTTAGCTCTTATATTTGGGTCTATGTTCCATTTTGAGTTAGTTTTCAAGCATGGTGTAAGGTAGGAGTCCAACTTCATATTTGTGTACTTATTCAACTGTCTTAGCACCATTTGTTAAATAAAAAGTTTATTCTTTCTCCATTGGACTGTCTTAGCATCCCTGTCAAAAATCAGATGATCATAAATATAAGGGTTTATTTCTGGATTTTCAGTTCTATTCCATTGAGTTATCTGTCTACCTTATGCCAATACCACTCTGTCTTGATCACTGTAGTTTTGCAGTAGGTTTTGAAATTGTAAATGTGAGTCCTCCAACTTTGTCCTTGTTTTAAAAAAATTGTGCTAGCTCTCTTGGGTCCCTGGCATTTGCATCATGAAATATGAATTTTAGAATTAGCCTGCCATTTTCTGCAAAAAATCTAGCTGGGATTTTGATAGGAATTGCACTGAATCTAGAGATCAACTTGGAGAATATTGCTATCTTAATATTAGATCTTCCAATCCATGGACAAAAGATGTCTTTCCATTTATGTCAGTCTATTTTAATTTCTTTCAGTGCTATTTTGTGCTTTTCAGTCACAATCTTACACATTTCTTGTTAAGTTTATTCCCAAGTATTTTATTCTTTTTGATGGTATTATAAATGGAATTGTTTGCTTAATTTCATTTTCAGATTGTTATTGTATAGAAACACCAACGGTACGTGTACATGGATCTTGCATCATACAATCTTACAGAATTCGTCTTTTCAGTTTCAAAAGCATGGTGTGTGTGTGTGTGTGTGTGTGTGTGTATTCCTTAGGATTTCCTATATACAAGATCATGTCATCTGCAAACAGAGCTAGTTTTATTCTTTCTTTTCCAGTTTGATACCTTTTATGTCTTTGTCTTGCCTTCTTGCCCTGGCCAGAACCTCCAGCACAATGGTCAACCTAAGTGGCAGTGGCAGACATTTTTGTCTTGTTCTTGATCTTAAGGAAAAACATCCAATCTTTCACCATCAAGTATTATTTAGCTATGGGCTTTTTGTAGATGCCCTTTATCAAGTTGAAGAAGATTCTTTCTACACTGGTTTGTTGAGTGTTGTTGTTATTGTTGTCATCACAAAAGGGTGTTGGGTTTTGTCAAATGCTTTCTTCCATCTATTAAGATGATCAGTTGGCTTTTGTCCTTACTCTATTAATGTCTTGTGCCTAAATTTTGACACCAAAATGTACTCAAGAAACAAAATCAGTCTAGTTCAGCCAACTCAGGCTTGTCAGATTTTCCCACTTCCTGCTTTTCATCAGATTGAAAATATGCACAGACAGAATGCACACTTGGATCTGGTTTGCATCTCCAAACTCAAAGAGGTTTCTTCCAAACCCTGGCTGCTACTTTTAAAAATAGTCAGAGCCCATTTTAACAGTAACTCTTTAATTAACCAGCTACTGTAAAGAAGTCAGGGGTGTTAGGAAGTGGTCAGGGATTTTTCCCTCCAGTTATTTTTATACCAGTTAATGACTTAAGGGAAAAAAAAAACCTCAGTGTGTTTAAGCAACCTTAGGAAGCTCTTTGGTGACTAATGGCTTATACTAGAAAGCCATACTTTTCAAACAAAATGTAGAAGAATTGTTCACAAATTCAGTCTCCAGAATATTCATCTGTACAACCCATGATTCAGCAGTGCAGGGAAGCAAGTGTAATAATACAATATTTAATGTTTAATGGACATAATCTAAGGAACTGAAGCTCCAGAAGAAGAAAAAAGAAGAAAACAAAATACAGAATTATAGAACCAGACCCAGAATGAATCTCACTGAGCTGAACTATGAACAGAACAGAGAAAGGGGAGAGGGCTAAGGGCCAATTTCGTCACCCAACAACTATCAAGCACCTACCACGTGCCAGGCACTGCCCTTGCACTCAGGAAATCTAACCAAAACGAATAAGGGTCTCTGCCTTCCTGGAACTCGAGCAATCCCCTTAACAAATAATTTGATCAAATAGCATATTAAAGATGCTAAGCGCTAGGGAATATAAGAACAGTGAAGCAGGATGAGGGTGATCTGAATTGGGGAGGGTGCATCTGGCTTATGTATACCTTACACCTGTGAGCCCAGATCTGTACACCTGCTCACCAAGAAAGAAAATATCATCCCCATTTTCCGGAAAAGAAAACAAAGGCCCAGAGAGATCAAGCAACATGTTCAAAGTAAACCCTAAATGGTGAACAGAGACCCAAAATAGGATTTACCTGATCCCTGAACCTCAACAACTAACTGCAGAAGGCATACCTGATCCCAACCACAAAATACCCTTCTGCCCTTGAACAACAAACACATTCAGAAAAATCAAAATCAAAGAGAAAGCAAAGAAAAAAGAAAA